ATACCACATCCCCTTCCCCCCTTGGTATTCATGTTTGTTCTCTATGTCTGTGTCTCTATTTCTGCTTTGCAAATAAGTTCAGTATAATTTTTCTAGATTCCACATGTAAGCAATATTATACAATATTTGTTTTTCTCTTTTTGACTTCTCTCTGTATGACAATCTCTAGGTCTATCCATGTCTCTGCAAATGGCACAATTTCGCTCCTTTTTATAGCTGAGTATATACCTCAGTTATTTGTTTGTTTGGCTGTGCAGGGTCTTAGTTGTGGCGCACGGGATCTTAGTTGCCACGTGCAGGATCTTTAGCTTCGGCATGCGGGATCTAGTTCCCTAACCAGGGATTGAACCTGGAGCCCCTGCCCTGGAGCCCCTGCATTGGGAGCGTGGAGTCTTAACCACTGGCACACCAGGGAAGTCCCATACCTCAAGTGTTTAAAAAAGTGTGCCTCAGGAAGAAGCAGGAGACACAAAGGGAGGAAAAGCCAGTTTGTCAGCCTGGGGCATAGGGGAAGTCTGGGCAAGAAAGAGATGGGTAAACATTGCAAATGTCATGTCCTTCCCAATTCTTGGAAACCATTAGCTTCCTGGCCCTCTTGTGTTTCCAGCTGTGGTAGAGTGAAGGTGAGATTCAGAATATAGTCATTCAGATTAGGGAGAGCCCTAGGTCAGGGATGCATTTGGACTGTCTTGCTTCTCTAATTTGTCTTTTTTTCCTCCCATAGCCTCTGAAGGTAGAGGTGAAGCTATGTCCAGGGTAATTGGAGTTTTCAAGGGCTGAGACACATTTTACCAGTTTGAGTAAAGTATAGAAACTTTGCGTTCCCTTGGGTCTCTTTACCTTCCCCACTTATACTGTAATTATCTTAAATATTTCTTCTCTCTATGCTGAGAACCACATAAGGCAATGTTATAATTTTTACTTAAATCACTTAACATGATTTAGAAAACTCATGAGAATAAGATGGTATATTATTATACATATCTTTCACTCTGTTGCTCTTTTTTCATGACATTTCAAGCTTTTTTGTTGTTGTTAATAATTTTCTTTCTGTTTAAAGAAATGCCCTTAGCCATTCTTTTAGAGTAGGTCTGCTGGTGACTAATTCTCTTAGTTTTCCTTAATCTGAGAACATCTTGATTTTGCCTTAATTTCTGAAGGATGTTTTTGCTGTGTTCCCTCATAGAGGGAACTTTTCACACCACCAAGCTGTTGATTCTGCCAGTCTCCTAGCCCATCCTCCAAGAATCGGCTCGAATGTGCTTTTGTGAAGCAGTCTGTGTCACTCTTTTTTTTTTTTTTTTTTTTTTTTTTTTGAAGGTGGGGATGACGTCAAGTCATCATGGCCCTTACGGCCTGGGCTACACACGTGCTACAATGGTCGGTACAGAGGGTTGCCAAGCCGCGAGCGTTGGGGAGCACAGGCTCCAGACACGCAGGCTCAGTAGTTGTGGCTCACGGGCCTAGCCACTCTGCAGCATGTGGGATCTTCCCGGACCGGGGCACAAACCCGTGTCCCCCGCATTGGCAGGCGGATTCTTAACCACTGTGCCACCAGGGAAGCCCTGTGTCACTCTTTGAACCCCAAACCAAAAGCAATCACTTTTACAGCTGGGATTTGTTCATTCCCCTGATAAAGCGCAGTCTTACAGGGTTTCATCTTGTTCTTTTTCCCACTAGACTGTGAACTTGAAAGCCAGGATCAGGTGTATTCACCTTTGGATCCCACAGGTACATTCATTAATATATCCAACTAACACAACAGTGTATTTGGTGCCTCCTATGTAGGAGTCACTGTGTTGGGCACTGGGTGTCAGTTGGATGTGATTACCCAAAGACTAGGTATACAGAGGTGAATAAAGCGATGATAATAAGGGTCCCAGCGCTTACTGATCTTCACCAGTGCAGCATCAAGCACAGAGTAGCTGTTAATACTAACAATCTGGTAATCTAGACGCTAGTCCTTTTACTCTGCTGCTACTTTCTACTTCTTTGACCCCATGGGAAAACTTACTGTGGAGTCCAGACATGCTGAACCCCGAGAAAGTTAGATGCTTCTTTGAGTCATTCAGAGAAGGAGGAAAGCTTCAGCCAGTGCTGGAACCTGAAGTCTCTGGAGGGCAAGGCCTGAGGAGGAGTACTGAGCACAAGCCCTGAGGGCCCTCCTGTTAGCCAGCAAAAGGAGAACAGGTCTGGGGTCCCAAGGGGATAATAGGAATGCTATTGATTACTTATGTACCAGCCTTGCTGGTCTAGGGAGCTGTTGAAGTTACTTCGATGCCTCCTATCTCAGTGGGAAACCAGGCTGATGGGGACTGGCAACTAAAAACAACACCCAAGATATTTTAGGGCAGTGAAAGTATTCTGTATGATACTGTAAATGTAGATATATGACATACATTTGGTAAAACCCATAGAACTGTGCAGTGCAAAGAGCTGAACCCTAATGTAAACTGTAGACCTAGGTAATAATAATACGTAAAATTTAAATAATATAACAATCAAGTGTAACTAAGGTACCATACCAGTGGAAGATGTTAAAAATAGGGGAAACTGAGGGGTTGGGGGAGAAGGAATATTTGGGAACTCTGTACTTTCTGCTCAATTTTCCTATAAACCTAAAACTATTCTAAAAAATAAACTTTTATTTTTTGGACTCTGCTTCTTGAGCCATTTTATTTTATTTATTTGTTTTGGCTGTGCTGCGTGGCTTGTGGGATCTTAGTTCCCCAACCAGGGATCAAACCCATGCCCCGTGCAGTGGAAGCATGGAGTCCTAACCACTGGACTGCCAGAGAATTCCCAAAAATGAACTATTAATTAAAACAAAAAACCCATCATCCAAGAAGTGACAGCTAATGGGAATTGAGGAACAGATAGAAGATGAGGACAGGAGCAAAGGTAGGAAGTCTGATTGGGGGGACCTGGCTTTGTCGTCATTCCTCAGTCCTGGAGACAAGCTCACCACCACTTTCCATTCCCCTACATATTTACACAATCTCTCTTCCCTGTCATTCCCAAGGCACCAGAGTTGGAAATTCAAGGAATTTCAAGGAAAAGTAATTTTCATATTGAGGATGAGGATGACGCTGATTGTAGAACTGGAGGTCCAGTTATGGATGGTGAACTCAGGTCAGAAATGGGAGAATCTGGCAGGACCCAAAAACTTCTCTAAGCTGTCCGGAAGCAGTAGAGTCTTGAGGCTCCCTGTGGACTTAGGGTCTAAGAATTTCAGGCAATAGTGTTGGATACCTCTACATCTAGTTCTCCCAGTTTTAGGAATGTGTCCCTGTAGCTTTCTGAAGACTTAACTTCTCTTATTCTATGGACTGATTTTTTCTTGCTTATTAGGGAGCCATCCTGGGACTGAGAGGAGTGAATAAGAGGAGGAGGGACCCAAGACCCCTTCGTTGACCTGTTCCCTTTGGTTGTGTTCCAAGGTGGGTTATGGCACCAGAGAGAAACCTTTATGCCGCAGTGATGTGTGGACATTTGTACCAGTTTTAGGAGGCACCATATGCCATTGTTCCTTACTGTTCAGACTACAGTTTCTCACCTAGACCCCTGTATGAGAAATGAAGCCCAATTCCTATAGGTTTGATGTAGGCTTAGAAAGGGGTACTATCAAGGTAATGGATGCATTTAATTAGGGAACTGCACTGGAATTAATGTAAACACTGAAAAGTTGCTCTTATCTGGTCTGACTTCTGGTGGATTCTATTGTCCTGTTCCTCTACCTATTAAATCCGTTGAATAAGAACTATTTTGGGCAACTTCCCTGGTGGTCCAGTGGTTAAGGCTGTGTGCTCCCAATGCAGGGGACCTGGGTTTGATCCCTGGTCAGGTAACTAGATCCCTCGTGCATGCCGCAACTAAAGACTCCACGTGCCACAACGAAGACCTGGCGCAGCCAAATAAATAAAATATTTTGGGCAAAGTTACAGTTACCAAAGGGGAAACCAGGTGGGGGGAGGGATAAATTAGGAGTTTGGGATTAACAGATACACACTGCTATAGGTAAACTAGATGAACAACAAGGACCTACTATATAGCACAGGGAACTATATTCAATATCTTGTAATAACCTATAATGAAAAAGAATCTGAAAAAGAATATATATATATATATGAATCACTTTGCTGTACACCTGAAACACAACATTGTAAATTGTAAATCAATTGTACTTCAATTAAAAAATAATAGAAGGTTTTATGGGCTTCCCTGGTGGTGCAGTGGTTGAGAGTCCACCTGCCGATGCAGGGGACATGGGTTCATGCCCCGGTCTGGGAAGATCCCACATGCCGCGGAGTGGCTGGGCCCGTGGGCCATGGCTGCTGAGCCTGTGCGTCCGGAGCCTGTGCTCTGCAACGGGAGAGGCCACAACAGTGAGAGGCCCGCGTACCACACATACACAAAAAAAGAATAATAGTAATAATAAAAATTTTTAAAGAACTATTTTGGGGTCTCCTACCCAGAAATCACTGGTATCCCTGCCTTTCACCTCCCACTTCCCCAGAAGACCCAGAGGAGTTTTTTCTGATCGAAGTTTAGGTCTAGAGAAATCCTTAGGATGAGAGGGATATGGGGCAGGAAAAGGGAGAAACCTGATTTCAGCATGGGGGCAAAGGTAAGGGCAAAACCTGAACTAAGAAGAGGCAGATAAATATTTGTGAATGTTATGTCCTTCACTGTTTTCAGAGGGGTCAACTGTTTTGTCTCGGGTAAAGAGAAGGTCAGATCTAGAAAGCAGTCATTCAGATCAGAGAAGCACAGAGGCAAAGGACATATTCAGATCATCTCATTCCTCTGGCTTCTTTTTTTACCAGGAGCAGATGAGTATCTCCCACAGCCTATAAGGTTTGATGTCCAGCGTGATTGAAATTTCCAAGGGCTAAGACACTTCCAAGCTCTGACCAGTCCTGGTGTCTCTTCATCCCAAGCCTTTTCCCACTTCCCAACCTGAGCATTGCTTCTTTCCAGCAGGGCTGTTCTGACCCACCATGATCCAGGCTGTGCTGCTCCTTTGCTGTGTCTTGCTGTCCCAAGGGGCTGCCTTTCCAAGAAATGCCCAGGAAGGGACCCTGAACTTCCAGACATCTTTCACAGAAACTGGGCATCCTCTGAACGTGCTCTCCAACCAGATCCCTCTCCCAGATCCCCATACTTGCCAGGATCTCTTGCACACAGTCCCCTCCTTAGCCCCTCTCTCTGAGTACCTATCCAACTTAGCTCTGGAGGCGGCCCTGGCGGAGGTTGGTTGCACAACCAAGGCCCACATTCTGCAGCTTCAGCTTGTTAAGATGGGAGGAAAGGATACCACTGAAACCCTCATCCATGAGAGCAAAAAGCACAATAAGGAAGAAGGGATTGGCAATGCTAAGGTCATTCTGAAGGATCTGGGAGGATCCTTAGGGGAGCTTAGGCGGGTGCAGCGCTTAGTTACCCTTCCTGAGGCATGTAGGCAGAAACATAAGTGGGTGCTCTACGAGACAGCGCAACTGATAGTTGAATTTGCTGAGAAGCTCCCTTCCACTGAGCTGGTAACAGAGTTAAAGATTTCTGTCAGTGTCACCCAGAAGTGCACGGATAAATCTTGGGAGCATTTGGAAAGAGTAGGCAAACGGCTGATGGAAAGCCCTGAGATTAAAGACTTCACAATGCCTATGGAAGATCAGATATACTTTGTCAAGCATTCCACAACCATTCTAATGTGCCTTATACTGGGACTAATACAGAAACATTTCCAGACATTTTTTGGATAGGGAAGGCCTCCAAGGAATCCCATCTGCTGTCTCAAATGTCTCTGATAGGACTGTGTACAAGGACTGTGCACAACAGGTAGTTAGAAATGTTGAGACAGCTTAGGGCAGAAGTGTGCTATTCATTTGATCCCAGTGCTGAAAGACATGTGACCAGAGTCAGCTTTGCCCCCTCTCTTAATAGGTCCTAGCCCCTATTTTTTTCTCCCAATTTCTCTTTATTTCAGTTCAAAGATACTGTGGTTATGTACTAGACATGAAGGATATTGTAACCTTTCCCCGTTCATCTACCTTTTACTTTCTAATTCCCCAACTGGATGCTATAGCTTGCTTGTGTTAATTTTTAAACTGAAAAGAGAAATTAAATGTTGCTTCTATATCAGAATCACTGTTATTTGATCTCTCTTAACTGTGGGTCTCTGTGGCATTTTTGGGGGGGTGGGGCACTGTGCAAAATGGGATCTTAGTTCCCTGACCAGGGATCAAACGCAGGCCCACAGCATTGAAAGTGCCGAGTCTTAACCACTGGACCACCAGGAAATTCCCTCCACGGCTTCTTTTGTGAGCTGGAGATGAAATGTGGCAGGGACATGTAGGAAGTGCCAATGTATTTTCAGGCTGAGTGTGTAACAAGGGGACAAGGTTTGAGCAGTCAATACAAATGGGCAAATAATTATAGAGGTCATATCCCTTGCTGATCATTGGGGAAAGCAACCATCTTTCCTCCTTATGGGACAGAGAACTGGGCAGAGTGGGTCTAGATCTACCAGAGCAGTTTCACTTCTCACTGACTGGATTGTGTGGTAATTTGGGGCCCCATACCTGCATGGAATGGGGCCCATGTAAAGCAGAGGAAGTCCCTGGTGATCTGGATAGGGAGACCAAGAAGAGCAATTGAGTCCCATTCCCTGGCCCCAAACTTAAAAGGAAGAGAGGCTGCGAGTTGATGGGTGAGATGTCCTCTAACTGAGCTCTGGGTTCCTTCAGACCACAGCCCAAAGGAAACAGTTTGTGTGTTGTCTTCCACTCTAGTATAGTCAGATCCAGCTAGACATCACCAAGACCCACCATGACCTGCTCCTTTAGTGCCTCCTGCTGTACCCTGTGGTTGTCACTTCATGTGGCACCCAGAAAAAGACCCTGGTGCCTTTTTCCTCATCTCTGGGGATCCAGCCACCCACAGCAGGCTCTTGGTTCTGCCAGACTCTGCTCCCAAAGTCCCTGGCTGGCCTCACCCACTTTGTACTCCACCAAGGATGTCCCTGGAGCAGACTGATCATGAGATTGATTCCTAGACCCTGCAGCTTCATCTTTATAGCCTGGAGGATGTGAAAGCCATGCAGGTTTTCTTCAATCAAATACGTGCTGCCATGCCGCCACATGGACAGCAGCACAGGGAGGGGCCTCCCAGGGAGTGCCCTGGTCTCTGTTCCACAGCTCTTAGGCAGGGTTCAGCCTGATCCAGGGAGATAAAGATGTGCCTTCTCTACTCTACAATGTTAGTAGGAGCAAGAGCAGCATATGTACAACGTGGTCCAGCTGTTGCCAGGAGTGGGAATCTACTACTAAGTCAGGCATAGCTTTGTACTCTGTTGCTCAGAACTACAATAGACCCAAGGAGTGAGGCTGAGATGAGGCCATAGACCTAGGCTCCAGCCTTCGGGTGATCATGCCCAGGTTATCAGGGGACCCAGGGGCTACCGGTGAGCTCTGTGCTTAAATCTGCAGTGAAATCTGGGGTTCAGCACTGAGATGAGGCCATAGACCTAGGCTCCAGCCTTCGGGTGATCATGCCCAGGTTATCAGGGGACCCAGGGGCTACCGGTGAGCTCTGTGCTTAAATCTGCAGTGAAATCTGGGGATCAGCAGCTGAACCATTATTACCATGAAAAAGAGGCAAATACCCCTCTGTCAGAGACTAGGGAGGTGGGCTCGGAAGGCACCACAGATGTGAATCACTCAGGGGGACAAACAACAACCACGGCCTCGGAAGACAAGTCTCCTGAAGTAAAGTCAGCTCCTACTCATTTCGGGCCTTATTCAAGGGCCATGACTTAGATACTTTTCGTAGGAATCTTATGCTTTATATAAATAAAGAGATTATTCACAGAAGGAATTAAACTGAATTTAAAATTATCACCAACTCCCTTATCCTAAACTTCAGATATGGAATAGAATATTCAACTATGATTATGTCAGTCTGTCATTATTCATGGTAGTGAAGAGAATCCTCCTCCCTCAAAAACAAAACAAAACAAAACAGGTTTTTTCCCTTCATCATAAGATCATATGACTCCTAAAATCACATACATGTTTGCTTTATTCTGTTAGGCTCTGGGTACTGCAATAAATTGAGATTTCCCAAAGATCAGATGGCCCCAGGAGCAAGAATGCTGCCCAGGCCAGCAGGTCTTTCATAGATGTGCTAATCCACGTATTGAAAATCAGAGGTGACAAATCTTACCAGTCCTTGTTGAAATTCTAGGTGGTTGGAACGAGGATGATCCCTCTGATTAAGGTAGGGAAGAGGGACCTGGGGGTGTATTAAAATAGAGTCAATTACAATCTTAGGGGTTTTATGACTCCTTCCACAATTTCCAGACTACTGCAATCCAACAGAAATTTGAGAGATGATGGAAATGTTCTATATCTGTGCTGTCCAATATGGTGGACACGAGCCCCATGTGTCTACTGGGTGCTTGAAATGTGGGTGGTACAACTGAGAAACTGAATTTTCTTTCCAAGTTTTAAATTATTATTCATAGTTTTTATTGTTGGTATTACGTGATAATGTCTCTAGGTGTTATGGACTGAATTGTGTCCCCCAGCAGAATTCATTAGTTGAAGCCCTAACCCACAATGTGACTATATGTGGGGAGAGGACCTTTAAGGAGGTAGTTAAGGTTAAATGATATCATAAGAGTAAGATTCTAGGGACTTCCCTGGTGGCGCAGTGGTTAAGAATCCACCTGCCAATGCAGGGGACAAGGATTCAAGTCCTGGTCCAGGAAGATCCCACATGCCACGGGGTAACTAAGCCTGTGCGCCACAACTACTGAGCCCGCGTGCCTGGAGCCCACACTCCGCAACAAAATAAGTCACTGCAATGAGAAGCCCGTGCACCAAAACGAAGAGTAGCCCTCCCCGCACCGCAGCTAGAGGAAGCCCGCACACAGCAACGAAGACCCAACGCAGCCAAAAATAAATAAATAAATAATAAAATTTAAACAACAACAAGAAAAAAAGAGTGGGATTCTAATCCAAGGGGACTGGTGTCATAAAAGGTGGAAAAGACACCAGAAATGCATAAACACAGAGGAAAGGCTATGTGTGGGAACAGCAAGACGGCAGCCATCTGCAAGCCAAGGAGAGATGTCTCAGGACTAACCAAACCTGCCAACACCTTGACCTTGGACTTCTAGCCTCCAGACCATGAGAAATAAATTCCTTTTGTTTAAATCACCCAGTCTATGGTATTTTGTTATGGCGGCCCTGGCACACTAATACATTAAGTATGGGTTTTTTTTCACCTATTTTCTGGTATCCTGTGAGTCTGCTCAATCTGAAAATTTTTTCTTCTTCATTCTTTTCTTAGGTTTTTTTTTTTGTTTTTTTTTTTTTGGCTGCTCTGCGCAGCTCGTGAGATCTTAGTTTCCCGACCAGGAATCAAACCCGGGCCCACGGCAGTGAAAGCACTGAGTCCTAACCACTGGACCGCCAGGGAAGTCCCAGTTTAGCTTTTTTAAAATTGTGGTAAAAAACACATAGAATAAAATATACCTTCTTAACCATTTCTAAGTGTACAGTTCAATAGTGTTAACTACCTTCACGTTGTTGTGCAACCCATCTCCAGAACTTTCTCACCTTGAAAAACTGAAAATCTACCCATTAAACGACTCCCCATTTCCCCCTCCCCTCAGCCCCCTGCAACCATCCTTCTACTTTCTGTTTCTATAACTTTGACTACTCTAGATCTCTTCCTACTCATTGCAATTTGTCATCTCCGACTGAGATTCCTGCAGCAGCCATCCTGCTAGTCCTCCTCACTCTAATCTCCCCTCCTCCTAAGTCCACCTTCCACATTGCCTCTTGAGTTATCTTTCTGAAACATAGGTTTGATTCTATCACTCCCCTGTCCAGACAACCTGATGGTTCCCCACTACTTTCAAGACAGAGTCCAGAGCCTCTGAGTGTGTCTGGTCTTTGTCCAACCTTGGCAGCCTTAGGTCCATGCCACCCACATACCTACTTTACATTGAAGTCATCTTCATCTTGGACTACTTTCCATACTCCAAAAGCTTTTTCTCTCAATGGTTGGTCATGCCCGTCCGTCTACTAGAAGGCTCCAACCACACCCACACATACCTCACCTGTCCTCCGGATAAACCTCTGCCTTCAAGACTCAGCTCAATTGTCACTCCTTTTGAAAAGTTGTCCCTGTTACGCTTTGAATCTATGGAGAAACTTTGGCAGTTGAGCTCTCTTCTTTCCACTGCTATAGCACAAATCCTCTGGTGTTACAGCACATTTCCTACTTCTCCCCCTGAATTGTGAGCTCCTAGAGGGTAAGGATCCTGCCTTACTCACTTTTAGATCTTTAGGATCCATTCAGTAATTTACACAATTAACAAATATATTTGGGGCAGCTGGAGAAGTGGCTAGAAGCACCTCCCGCCCTTACCCCACACTGCCACCTGTGCTTCCTAACCTTTAATGGTACAATGGTACAATAGCTGTGGTCAAATTTGACCGTATATCAGAATCACCTGTAGAGCTTGTTAAAACAGATTTCTGGAGAATTCCCTGGTGGTCCAGTGGTTAGGACTCCGTGCCTTCACTGCCAAGGGCCTGGGTTCGATCCCTGGTCAGGGAACTAAGATCCCAAAAGCCTGCGTGGTATGGAAAAAACAAAACAAACAAAAAACCCACACAGATTTCTGAGCTTATTCTGAGTACCTGATTTAGCAGGTCTGGGATGGGGCCTAAGAATTTACAGTTCTAAG